GGTGTGCCCGTGTCTATTATTTCAGATCGAGGTACGCAGTTTACCTCATATTTATGGAGGGCTGTACAGCGTGAGTTAGGCACGCAGGTGGAATTGAGTACAACATTTCATCCACAGATAGATGGACAGTTAGAGCGCACTATTCCGATATTGGAGAATATGCTTCGCGCTTGTGTTATAGACTTTGGAGGTTCTTGGGATCATTTCTTCCACTTGTGGAGTTTGCTTATAATAATAGCTACCAGTCGAGCCATATGAGGCATTATATGGAAGGCGATGCCGTTCGCCAGTTGTCTGGTTTAAACCGGGAGAGGGTCGGTTATTGGGTACCAATTTGGTAATTGATGCCTTGGATAAGGTCAAGATTATTCAGGATCGACTTCACACAGATCAGTCTAGGCAAAAGAGTTATGCCGACCATAAAGTTCGTGATATTGCATTCATGGTTGGAGAAAGAATATTGCTCCGAGTTTCACCTATGAAAGGTGTAATGAGGTTCGGAAAGAAGGGCAAGTTGAGCCCTAGGTATATCGGACCCTTTGAAATTCTTGAAAGGGTGGGTGAAGTAGCCTACATGCTTGCATTACCACCTAGTTTATTAGTGGTTCATTCGGTGTTCCATGTGTCTATGCTCCGGAAATATCATGGTGATCCGTCCCATGTGTTAGATTTCAGCTCAGTCCAATTGGACAAAGATTTGACTTAAGAGGAGGAGCCGGTGGCTATTCTAGCCCGGCAGGTCCGACAGTTAAGGTCTAAGAGTTATCCTTCAGTTCGGATACAATGGAGAGGTCAGCCGGTAAAGGCATCTACTTGTGAGTCCGAGTCGGACATGTGGAGTAAATATCCACACTTATTCACCAGCTCAGGTATTTTTTTCTAACTCCGTTCGAGGACGAACGTTTGTTTTAGAGGTGAAGAATGTGATGATCCAAAATATCATCTTTAAATTTAATAAGTAATTCTGTATTCTAAGACCTCAAAAAGCACCATTTATCATTCCTCGACTTACGTGCGTAGTCAGTATAATTTTCCGGAAAGTTTTTACGTGAAAAATAGATTAAAATGTGAAATAGAGCTTTAAAACTCAATTGAGTTGACTTTGGTCAACATTTTGAGCAAACAAACCCGGATCCGTATTTTGACAGTTACGGTAGGTCCGTATAGTGATTTGGGACTTGGGCGTATGCCCGAAATCGAATTCCGAGGTCCCTAACCCGAGATATAGAATTTTGATGAAAACTTAAAAGCTTGAAAGCTTAATGATTTTTAAGAAATTACTGATGTTGGATTTATTGACCCCTGGTCCATATTTTGGTTCCGGAGCCCGGTAAAGGTCCATAATAATATTTATGACTTGTCTTCCGAATTTGGTGATAATCGGAGTTGATTTGACGTGATTCGGACGTCCGGTTGTAAAAATATAAGTTTTAAAGTTTTCTTGAAAATTTCCTTTGATTTGGCGTCCGATTCGTAGTTCTAGGTGTTGTTTTGGCGATTTGATATCGCGAGCAAGTTTGTATGATGTTTTAGGATTTGTGTGCATGTTTGGTTTGGATCCCCGAGGGCTCGGGTGAGTTTCAGATAGGATACAGGATGATTTTGAACTTAGAAAAATCTGGTTTTCTGCAACTTTAGGCTTCTGGTATTTCCTTCATCGTGTTCGCGAATGTAGTCTCGCGAACGCGAAGAGCAAACTGGGCTGGCTGAATTTTCCTTCTTCGCGAACGTGAAGATTGGGTCGCGAACGCGAAGCTATGGGGACTTTACCCTTTGCGAACACGACCAGCTCAACGCGAACGCGAAGCTTTAGAGGCCTGGAGGAGGGGTCAATCGTCCTTCTACGTGAGCGCGGGCACTGGCACGCGAACGCGAAGGCCAGGGGGAAAAAGCCTTCGCGAACGCGAAAGCCATGGGCTACTACTCATCGCGAACGCGACAGGCCCTTCGTGAATGCGAAGAAGGCCTGACGCCTGTGACTTAAAATAGAACCAAAACAGTATTTTTCCTATTTTTCACAAACCCTCAATTAGAACTCGGTTTAGGGGCAATTTCAAAGGAGTTTTTCACGATTTCGAACTGGGTAAGTGTTCTTTATCATATAGTGATTGTATTTCATAAATCTAAGTCTATATTCATCATTTATTTCGGATTTATATGACATCGGAATTTGATAAATTTCGTATGGTTGGACTCGTATCGGAACGGATGTTCGGATTTCGTAAGTTTTTCCTAGATTTGAGATGTGGGTCCCACTATTGAATATTTTAATGAATTTTAGATTTTTATCCGGAAAATTAGTAAATTCATATGGAATTAATTCCTGTGATTCGTATTGAGTATATTGAATTTTTTATGAATAGATTTGAAGCTTTTGGAGACAAATTTAAAAGAAAAATCCGTGGTCGAGTAATTGATTGGAATTTGCAAAGCGAGGTAAGTGCCGTGGTTAACCTTTACTTGAGGGAATAGAACCCTTAAACTATTTGTTATGTGAAATGCATGTGAATGATGTATAGGCGATGTGACGAGTGTCTATACGTCGTCAAATTAATTGTTTGCATAATTACTTGAAAAATCATAAATCGTTTTAAATTATGAATTAATTATTATAATAATTATTTCTCTCCTATTGTTTGTCAAATATTAATTCTTGAATTCCTGCATTAATTGTTACATGCTATTTGAATTATGTGTCTTAATTGTTATTTGACATTTAACATATTAAGTATTAAACTGCCTATTTTCTCCCTGATTTTCATAATAACTTGCTATTTGTCATTGTTTGTTTCATAATTAAATCATAATTATTGTATTCTTGTTGTCTTATAATTTTATATTAATTATTGTATTTATTGAGAAAATTTCTTCTATAAGAATTAGTAAATGAATATATTGGAGGATCGGGTTGCACGCCGCAACAGACTTATTAAAAGTTCATATTGAAAGATCGGGTTGCACGCCGCAACAGATTTATTAAAAGTCCATATTGGAGGATCGAATTGCACGCCGCAACAGACTTATTAAAAGTCCATATTGGAGGATCGAATTGCACGCCGCAATATACTTGATTAAAATGAATATATTGGAGGAGCGGATTGCACGCCGCAACAGAATTGAATATGAATATATTGTGAGAGCGGGTTGCACGCTGCAACGAAAATTGATGAAAATGATAAATGAATTATGACTGCTAAGTTGGCTTCAATTATTATAAATGAGTTATCTGATTTATTTCTATTATTTATTGTTGTTACTAATATTGCGTACAAGTTAATGTAAGTGAACCGCCTTAGCCTCGTCACCACTTCATCGAGGTTAGGCTCAGCACTTACCAGTACATGGGGTTGGTTGTACTGATACTACACTCTGCACTTCTTGTGTATATTACGGAGTTGGTCCCAACGGCGTACCATAGACTTGCTTGGATTTCAGCTATCAAAGGAGACTTGAGGTATAACTGCACGGCATCCGCAGTTCTGAAGTCCCCGTCTACTTTACTTTAGCTGTGTGGTTTTTTTCAGACAGCTTTATTTTATTCAGACCCTTATTTGTATTATTCTAGAAGTTCATACACTTGTGACACCAAATTCTGGGATGGTATTTAGACACCGTTATTTTTATGGATTATTCACTATATTTCAAACCTTACATTCACATTTGTTTCTTTGTTATTAATAAATTTAAAAATTATTTAAAAATGGTTAATATTATTCTAACGTTGGCTTACCTAGCAAATAAAATGTTAGGCGCCATCACGGTCCAAAGGTGGAAATTTCGGGTCGTGACAATTTTTTTTGAAAGGAGAAGAAAAAGGAACATATCTTTTTGGAACTTTGATATGAAGAAATACTTGAGGGAATATTTAATAGTAAGAGAAAAAAATACTATAAGATTTTGGTCAAATGCCAGATATTTAAATACGGAGATATAATCTATTCTTAAAAGTTTGATTAAGATATAGGTGACAAGCTCAAAGATTGAATGACTATAATAGTTCATTAATCACAATTAATATAAAAGTATATTTGAAAAGCTTTGTATAATTATTAGGCGAGGAAAAGTAATTAAGACTATCTCATTAATTCTACTAATGTTTAGATGTTAGTTTATAGTGAGCTTTGAACAAACCAGAGTCGTGTCACTTAACATTTTGATAAAATCAGTGATGGACAATATTTTTCGTATTCAAATTGATTATGAATTTCTTATTCAAAATCAAGACTTTTTTCTTTATCTATCTATATGTCATTAACATGATTTATTTTTCAAAAACGTACACTTTTTAAAATTTTATTTTATAACTCAATTATATTATTTAATAATGTATTATTTTTAAATTATATAATTATTGATATAGGTACACGCACAACGCGCGTACATTAAAACTAGTAAAGCTAAAACTCCAACGTAAAAGTTCATGGTGTATGTTGTTAAAGGCCAATTTAACAAAGATCAAATACGTATTTCTCATGTAAGGACTGGATGTGGCATCAATTAAAGATCACTGCATACTATAAATACTTTTAACCTATATTTATATGTTCTGTCCTTTTATTTTCCAAGAAATAACTTTGGTACTAAAAATGACCAAATAATTAATTTATACCTTGACAACTAAATACTGGCAAAATCGTTTGAACAAATAAAGCTAGTACTATTTTCCTTATTTTATGTGCTCCTTTAATTAATTTTTTTTATATATGATGGACTAATGATTAAATTTTATAAAATTTCTTGCGTTAATTTGGTAAAAAAGTAGCAATTTCTTATTACTTGTCCTGGAAGGAACAAAGAAAAAGGAAAACCTCTCTCCTAACCTAGTTATATTCGGATTTTATTTTAATTATTATTAATACCCCTTACGTTATTACGTGTATATAAAGAAACTACAAGAGCCTATACTTCATATTTTCCAAACTCAAAACCCTAGAAAACCATTCTTTTCTTCTCATAGAAAAAAAGATGAAGGTGATCGCCGCCTACTTGTTGGGCGCACTGGGCGGAAACGCCAGTCCCACGGCGGAGGATTTGAAGGCAATTCTCTCTTCTGTTGGTGCAGAAGCTGATAATGAAAAAATTGAACTGTTATTATCACAAGTTAAAGGAAAAGACCTTGCTGAACTTATTGCCGCCGGTAGAGAGATGATTGCTTCGGTGCCTTCTGGTGGCGGTGGTGTTGCGGTTGCCGCTGGTGGTGGAGGTGGTGCCGCTGCTGCTGCGGTGGCGGAAGCGAAGGAGGAAAAGAAAGTGGAAGAGAAAGAAGAGTCTGAGGAGGAGTTTGGTTTTGATCTCTTTGGTTAGATGAATTGATATATTGTTGGTGAAGTTGATCCTTTGTTTATTATTGAATTGGAATTAAATTTAGTATGATTTTCTTTTCTCTAAGTAGTAATTTTGATTTGATGTTATGTTTAGGTTTACAATCTGTTTATGTTGGATGTTTCTTTTAAATAAAAATTTGACTATTTTTCAATTTTTGTGTGTTATCCTTGCGTATGGTTATGCTACTTTTTATGTGTCGTTCTAATTTTATCTTGTCATGTTGGACATGGACACTGATGAGCTATGTTACTCGAACTCTTCAAAAATATTGTTGGGTGCCTGTCAGATCCTCCAAATTTAGTGCATTTTTGGAGGATCCAGCACGGATACGGGATCACTTTTGGAGAGTCCGAGTAACATAGCTATTGAGTATTGAACATGACAAGTCAATCATGCAAGTAGCAAATGCCGCCCTAGTTTTTACTGTCTGCAACTAGTTTGGATGGTTGTTATCTATTGTGTTAGTATTGTATCATATCATATTGTTACTTTACATATAATGTTTTAATTCTTACTTAAAATTTATTATATCATCTTGTTAAAAACGTCCATCGTTAGTGTCACTTTATGTAACAATTGATGATTTGGTGTGGTCGTGTTGTTACCTTACTTTTTTTCTTTCCATATTGCTCTTTTTTTATTATTAAATAAACTTATTTTATCCTTTATTCTACCTTTTTATATAATAATTCTATCATGTACATACTTTTTCTTTGTAATATTGTAAGTTTATTTTTCATATTACTAAGCGTGGTATCATAAACGACAACAACAACGACAACAAACAATATATTCAAACGTTGTATATTCATCAAAATAATACAATAAAATACATTATGAAACGATACTTAACAAACTTTCAAATAAGCTACACCCTGTTTTTGATTTTGTCTTAAATTAGTTTTCAATCATGGCATAAAATACAGACGACCCTTTCCTACCAAATGAAGATTTCAAATAAATACCGAGTGTGTAGGAGGTATTACTGTATTAATGCTAACTCCCTCTACATGTTTTTTTCTACAGTCTTTGTAAGCTGTAAAATAGTACTAATAGCTAGCTTGATGAGCTAGCACCAAAATTTAACCTTTTATCTGAGTAACTCAGAATTTTTTTTTTTTTAAAAGCTCAACATAAATACAAAAGTTATCTTTTTAGGATTGTTGAGGACTAAGAAAAAGGAGGCAATGAATTATCCGAAAGTGAGTCAAATATTGTTCAGAAGATAAACGCATTTCCAGAATGCTACTTATAATTCACATTTTATCTATAAATAGTAGTTAGTAAGTGCGATTTATTGGAACTAGAAATTGACTCCAATATTAATACACTAAAAACTGGACATTTGAAGCATGTACATTATAATAACATGCCCAATAGGTAAACCAAGAAAAATAAAACTTAGGCACAGATCGGTGTTTGATGTTAAACAAACCCATCACTAAACCATATTATGAATGGTATAACACCACATATTGAACAGTCACGTACAAAGGATTAACCAGCTGATTCTGCCGTTTCTTTTCTCCATTAATTGATATAAGCATGGGCAATGGTCCGGAGAAGGGTCGGGCCACAAATGGTTTGTTGTATGCAGCCTTACTCTTCATTCTGCAAGACTATTTCTATGGCTCGAACCCGTGACCTTCTGGTCACATGGCATGGTGTTAGGATCGGGAACTCGGGTAGTGCGGAATTTAGCCAAACAATATTATAATGACAATAACAAAGACAATGCTAGTTAATAACAACGACAATTAAAGCATATAAAAAAGACACTAATTTAACGTGGTTCGGTCAGTGTTACCTTACGTCCACAAGCGGAGAGTAACAAATTCACTATAGCAACAAGAGTACAAAAGAGCGTACAAAATTAGAGTAAATACTCTAATTAATCTCAAATACCCCCGGGAGAATAATCTCATAAGATCACTCCAAAGAAAGGGGATCACACAAGTGTTTCCGAACACTCAACTCTCTTACAAAATAATCTCAATTACTGAAGGAGGAGAAGAAATAAGAAATGAAGACTCAAGTCTTGTTGGTGTGTATAAAATGAACTAATGACCTTTCCTTTTATAGGCAAAAAAAGTCTTGGCCTCTTAGTTGTAAAAATAAAGATACAACTTGTGTAAATAATATCCACCACATAATACAATATTTTTGGGTCTCAAAGAATATTGTCAACAAAGTCTAAGGCGTATTCTTACGTGAGATGTACTCGACTGACCAAAATATTGGCCATAATCAGCAACTTTACCATTAATTAGTAGAAGCATATACACATTAAATATGGAATGGGAAAAGAACGAGACCTGTTGCCTTTTCATTTTTCCAGGTGAATTTGCTGTAAATGCCACTTGCTGTTTAAGAGCTCGAGGCAGAAGCAAAACCTTTCCTTTTCTTTGCATTATTATTTATATCTCAGAAATATGCTCAAAAGGGAGCTGCTGTTTCTTGTGATTGAGATCAACTAACACCTACAGGATTCTACTATGTCGCTAATGAAAAAACTATTTTGGAGTCTATTAAGATCAGCTGTCAAATTCTTAATCTTTATTAATTACACCATTCTCTTTCATATTTGGGCTTTTGCATTTCATCTTCAACTATCTTTTTGATGACCAACTCTCTTTATTTGGACGTTTTCTTAAATATGTATGTGTTCTTGATGCTTGTAACGTTTACTACTTGATAATGCCTCGTTTTTATTGAGATTGAATTTAAAAACTAATTTTTGTAAGATATGTTTCTTGACTCTTCTTTTATCAATGTAGACTGGAGATCAGCTGCTGGAACTGAGGGACAATATTCTTAAACTCAAACTAGAAGTTGAAGCTGAACTATTTGATGAAGATTCTAATAAAGATTGTGCTAATACCAATGTGAGTATCTCAATAAAAAAAGTTGTATTTTCCCTTTCTAATTTATGTGATGAAAGCAAAACCCTCACCTACAACATACTCTACACCCGCACAAGGAAAAAGAGAGGGAATGTTGTTATTTTAGTTATTTATCCAAGCAATAATGGGCAAGAACAACTTAGCTCACAGTTTGCAAGAACTCAAATGTCTCCCGATCAAGGGTAGTTCTTAATTTAAAGCTTACGTGTTCGAGAAACAATACGAAAAGCATTAGATTTAGAATTAGCCCTAGACATTTGAGTTTTTGCAAAGTGTGAGCTAAGTTATTCTTGCCCATTATATTCATTTGCTTCTGTACCCATTGTGGCAATAGAAAGAGTATAGTGTAAGAAAGTAATACCCATCGTCCGAAAATTATAATGTTTAGCTCGGTAAGGTTTTTAAAATATGTATATATATATATTATATAATGACACCCCTTTTACTTCTTGACTTCTGATGAGTTTATTTTTTTATATTTTGACGGCTATACAATTTGCTAGATAGATATTGAGTTTAATTTCTACATATCTTGAGTGTAAAAGGTTCTGCACACAAGTATACATAACTTGATACAATAGGTTAAAGTACATGCCGATAGCTTTTACATTATTAGTGTGTACATATGAGTTAAGTCTATAGTGGAAGAGTATAACAAGAATCTCAATTGTCCTAGTAATCCGCTCTAATGTAACTCACGTAACCATTCTTTTCTTCTCAGAGAAAAAATATGAAGGTGATCGCAGCATTGGGCGGAAACGCCAGTCCCACGGCGGAGGATTTGAAGGCAATTCTCTCTTCTGTTGGTGCAGAAGCTGATAATGAAAAAATCGAACTTTTCTAATCTCAAGTTAAAGGAAAAAACCTTGCTGAACTTATTGCTTCTGGTAGAGAGATGGTTGCTTCGGTGCCTTCCGGTGGTGGTGGTGTTGCGGTTGCCGCTGGTGGTGGTGGTGGTGCTGCTGCTGCCGCTGCTGCGGCGGTGGCGGAAGAGATGGAGGAAAAGAAAGTGGAAGAGAAAGAAGAGTCTGAGGAGGAGTTTGTTTTTGATATCTTTGGATAGAAGAATTGATATATTGTTGGTGAAGTTGATCCTTTGTTTATTTTTGGATTAGAATCAAATTTAGTATGATTTTCTTTTCTCTAAGTAGTAATTTTGATTTGATGTTATGTTTAGGTTTATAATCTGTTTATGTTGGATCGATGTTTCTTTTAAATAAAAGTTTGACTATTTTTGGATTTATGTGTGTTATCCTTGCGTATGGTTATGCTACTTTTCTTTTTATATCGTTATCTTTCTGTTGTGGGTTCAGCCGAACCTTATATCATCAGCATAACTATCTCCACTCGAAACATCAGAATCCTCGTCAGCAGATGAATCCGTAGAAAGAGCTGCCACTTAATAATTTGCCGATCTTTTTGGTCCAAACCTCAAGAAATCCATTTAATTATATACAAATTAATAAATTAGAATTCAGTATTAATTCCAAACTCATAAATTTCAACAGTTGATTTCGCCCCTGAATTGTTTTCTTCTCTTTTTATTTTTACTGCGTGTGTGTGTGTGTTTTCTGGGTTTGTCTTCTGTGATTATTTCATACTTTTCTTCTCTTTTAATCGAAAGGATACGAGTAATTCTATATTACTCCATAATAGCACCTTCGCATAGTAGTACTAATTATTTTAATATCTTCCTTGCTTGAGAGTCATGACTTTAATATGATATATAATGCATGCTATTCCTGTTTATCGTACTTCTGTTTTACTTTTTCTTTGTTTTCGTTTTTGGTGTGTATTTTGATAATGTCGCAGTATAAAGCTTAAAAAACAGATTAAAAAAGAAAAGATTTTGAGTATTCATGATATAAATTCCATTGGCAAGAACAACGTACATGTTTTCAGTTACATCATTCAAGTACCATATATATGTTAGTTCAGCTCATACCATATGTAATTTAGTGGGGTTTGGACATGAGAATTGTAAAATTCTGGAAAAAAGTGATTTTTTTTTATAAGTGAAAATGGTATTTGAAAATTAGAATTGTGTTTGGACATGAATATAATTTTAGGTTGTTATTGAATTTTTGTGATTTGACTGAAAATTTTGAAAAAATAGCTTTTTGAAGTTTTTAAAATTTTTAAAAAAATTCCAAAATTTATCTTCAAGTGACAAATAAAAATTGTATGGCCAAACACTAATTTCGAAAAAAAAAGTAAAATTTTTTGAAAAAAAGTAAATTTTTTTTTA